ACTGACAATGGTTACCCTCGATGCAATTGTGAGGATGAGGGGGTATGGAGTGTTGAGAGCATTCTAGAATGTCAAAGGGTGAGTGATTTCTTGATTGCTGTTGCCTATTTTAGTATCCCCATTGAGCTTCTTTATTTTGTTAGCTGCTCAAATGTTCCTTTTAAGTGGGTTCTCTTCCAATTCATAGCCTTCATTGTTCTTTGTGGTATGACCCATTTGCTTAATGGTTGGACTTATGGTCCTCATGCCTTCCAACTCGCCGTTGCGCTCACTACTTTTAAGTTTTTAACTGCTCTTGTCTCTTGTGCTACTGCCATTACCCTTATCACCCTCATCCCTTTGCTTCTCAAAGTCAAGGTTAGAGAATTTATGTTGAAGAAGAAGACTTGGGATTTGGGTAGAGAGGTTGGTATGATTAAGAGACAAAGTGAAGCTGGTTGGCATGTTAGGATGCTTACTCACGAGATTCGTAAGTCTTTGGATAGGCATACTATCTTGCATACTACCATGGTTGAGCTCTCTAAGACCTTGGATTTGCAGACTTGTGCTGTTTGGATGCCCAATGAGAATAGGACTGAGGTCATTTTGACTCATGGCTTAAAAGGGAGGAACTTTCAGAGCTTCAGCCACTGCAGAGTGCCCTATGCTGATCCTGATGTCAGAAAGATTAAGGAGAGAGATGAGGTCCAGATACTCAGACCAGATTCAGCTCTCGCTGTTGCCAGCAGTGGAGGATTGGAAAATTTTGGTGCTGTCGCTGCTATACGTATGCCCATGCTCAAGGTCTCAAATTTCAAAGGAGGAACTCCTGAGTTGATGCAGGCTTGCTATGCTATATTAGTCTTGGTTCTTCCGTGTGGCCAAGAGAGGTCATGGACCAACCCTGAGCTTGAGATTATCAAGGTGGTTGCTGATCAAGTTGCTGTGGCCATCTCTCATGCTGCCATCCTAGAGGAATCACAGCTCATGAGAGATCAATTGGCCGAGCAGAATCGTGCACTGCAACAGGCACAGCGAAACGCATTGATGGCAAGTCAAGCAAGGAACTCATTTCAGAGAGTGATGAGCCATGGGATGAGAAAGCCAATGCACTCAGTCCTCGGGTTGCTTTCAGTACTGAAAGACGAGAAATTAAGCAGTGAACAGAAACTAATTGTTGATACAATGATGAAAACTGGCAATGTCCTTTCGCTTTTGATTAATGATGTGATGGACGATTCACCAAAAGAGAGTGGAAGATTTCCATCTGAATTCAGATCATTTGGGCTCCATGCCTTAGTAACTGAAGCTGGTTGTTTTGCTAAATGCTTGTGCGCTCAAAATGGTTTTGGCTTTAGTATTGAAGTTGATAGGTCTTTACCTGATGATGTATTGGGTGATGAAAAAAGGGTATTTCAGGTGATCTTGCATATGGTAGGTAACTTGGTGGAGCACAACACCGGTGGTGGGTCTATGGTTCTTCGGGTGTACTCTCAACATGGAAGTCAAGGGAGGAATGATCAAAGATGGGCAACCTGGCGATCAGGCTCTTCTGATGGAAATGTTTATATCCGATTTGAAGTTGAGATTACCAATAGTGCTATCTTTACAGACGATTCAGCCTTGGCCTCAAACTACAGTGGTCCAAGATGCAGTAATGAGATTGTGGATCGCGACTTGAGTTTCAGCGTTTGCCAGAAGCTAGTTCAGGTTAGAGGAACTATATCTTTTAGTTTGTTTATATTTTCACTTTGCACCCACCCAAAACATTTGCAAACATTAGTTAAGCAAGTAGCTATTGTAGCGTGGTGTTATGTAGCTCCCTCCGTCCAACCCAATATCAATGCCTTAGTTTCTAATTTGAACCCTCCTGATAAACTGCTCATTTTCCTTTCATATTATGATTTCATTCATAACTTCCTCAAATTGTTATGTCGTTCAATGCTATTGCTACTTCTTATAGTTCACCTAAGCAGCTCCTTTGGAAGTAACAAGTACGGATTAACATTTTATCTTGATGGAGGGAGTACATTGTAGGGAATATATATCAGTTACAAATTTTGGAGAGTTGTTTGACCTCATAGGTGCTTATGTAATTCGACATCATTTAGTACAAGGGTTATAAACTAACGTATCTTAATCAGTTAAGAATTCAAGATGACACAAGAAGATAGATCTTAGTGAATTGATGTACTTGTAATATTAATATATTTTTGGAACAGTAGATTCTTGCTGGAGATGTGTATTTTTATATATATCTCCTTTATTTTTCTTTTCTTTTCTGGGTTTGTGGAAGTAGTGTGGTGTCTTAGCAGGGGAAAGGGGCCCGCTTTCCTATAATTATCTAAAAGGGGTATGCTTTCTGAGGCTGAGATGGCTTAATCAATCTATTGCCTTCAATTGGAGATTCTTTGTGCTTGTTCTTATGCCTTTTTTGTGGGAAATTATGATTTCTTCTGAGAATAGGTTCTGAGTCATTTGTTATGCTGATTTTGTCACACAGTACTTACATAAAATACAACAATATACCAGAAACTATGCATCAATGCATGTAGGCAGATATTTAATTAGGTCCTTGGATCAGGAAAATGATTTGATTTCATTGAATTTCTGACTGTTGTTACAATTTGACAGTTGATGCAAGGAAATATTTGGGTAGTCCCAAATCCTCAGGGGTTTCCTCAAAGTATGGCACTGGTCCTACGTTTCCAGTTACGACCTTCCATTGGAATAACGATCTCTGAATCAGGAGAACCATCATCAGATAACGCCTCCAACTTTACTTTAAAGGGCCTTCAAGTATTATTAGCCGATGATGATGATATCAACAGGGCTGTGACAAAAAAGTTACTCGAGAAGCTGGGTTGTTTAGTTACTGCCGTATCGTCAGGATTTGAGTGTCTAAGTGCATTTGGTCCATCAAGCTCAAATTACCAAATAGTCCTCCTAGAACTTCATATGAATGAGCTTGATGGGTTTGAAGTCGCAACACAGATCTGTAAGCTCAGGAGCAGAAGTCGCAGCTGGCCTGTGATTATTGCTTTAACAGCTACTGATGATGATGAATTCTGGGAGAGGTTTAAGCAGGTTGGGATAAGCGGGGTTATCAGAAAACCAGTTCTTTTACAGGAAATCATCGATGAGGTGCGTAGAGTCTTAAGTACAGCCAAATAAAGCGATTTTGTGATACTTTTTTATTTAAGAAAGAAAAAAAAATGTTCTTGTTTTTGATTCAAATGGAGTGTAAGAAGCTGAGCTCCTAGGTTTCTCTTATACACAGGTAAATCAGTAGGTAGGGGAAAGTATCATTTGTTTGGCGGGGGAAAGGAAATTAGAGGAATTAGCAGATTTAGGAGATGCTGTAAAGTGTAAATCTACATTGAAACACATATGGATAAAATGCAGTTATAGATTGATGTTAAGAATTGAGGTAAATCTGTGGTTTTTACCTTTGGCAATTGACCTGATATACTTCATATTATATTTATATATACACAAGTGATAGTTGAATGTACTAAAACAATAATGTTGTGACTATTATATATTATAATAATCAACTACCTGAGAATCAATTCTAAAAATTTAGTAGCATCACACATTCACACCAACAAGTGGAATAATTGTGATTTCATTCCGAAAACTGCAAACTGCATGTGCATACACGTACTTGCTGCATAATTGTGTGCAACATGTGTTTCATACTTTCATATAGCATCTTCAGTTAAAACCGACTCATAGCTACTACGGAGTATTTAATACGGAGTACACTACAAGGTCTATAAGGTCTACAACATCTAATTTTGTCAAACACGTCTATTATCGTCTTAACCTTTTGAAATTTAATAAAAATATAGGCTCCTTACAAGTGGGCTATGAATAAAAATAAAGTCGCCGTGAAAGTGGTTAGCAAGAGCAGTTGGAGTTGATTCGCTGTGTCTCTGTGCTAAAGAAAATACTCAAAGTGCTCTGCATCTCTCCATAAATAAAATATTATAGTGTAAATGTTGACTGTATTCATGTTCACTCAACTCTCTCAAGGGTATGGGATCATGAGACGACATGAAATGAAGCAGATCTAAGAGACCTTTGAGTATTTTATAATTACATCATCTTACCCCAAACAGAAAGAGGCCCCACATTTAATTAATTATTTAGCAAGAACACAATAATACCCATGAGCTTGGTTTAAGAATGATTCAACAAATTACCTTGGCGAAGGATAGCTCAAGTGGTTTCAAGAGATCCTGGAATTGATTCTCATCCCGTCCTTGTGGCTCTTTAAACACCCAAAAAAACAAATTACCTTGGCCCTATTGTTTTCGACCTGCAAAAGGAAGTTATAGGAGTAAGCCATGCTTAACAGTCGATAATTTAAAATTGTACAACCATGTTTAACAATTGATTTTTTATTATTATTATTATTTTATTTTATTTTTATGGTGTAGAGAGAGCCATAAGGCAACTGATAAAATCGACCCCAGGATTACTAGAAAGTGGAAACCAAGAGGAAAACTTTAACCACTTGAATTATCCCTCATGGCTCATTCTCATAATTTTGTCAAAATATATTGGTTAGAATATGATTATGAGTAAATAACAAATTTTAACTTTCATAATCTAAAATTTCCGAAGAACACTTTGTTTTATGTAAAAAAGTAAAAGAAAGATTTATATAAATTAAAATCATTTTGCAATATTTTTCGAGAGATTCAATCAATTCCTCTATAGTGGTACCGGAATTTTTCCTGTTAATTGGTAGTGTTTATAGGTCACTGGCTTTGTTGTGCATGACCGATGCCGACTATGATGATTTCCACCTCTGCCCCGTTGTGTCTTTGGCTATGCTTTTTTTTTTTTTTTTTTTTTTTTTTAAGATAAGATAAAAAAACATTAGGATGCCTCCTCACGAGGGATACTCCTAATGTATCAGAAGAAAGAATTGAAAATAAACTAGAAACATCAAGGCTATGCTTTGGATATGTTAACCCGTTAAAAGTAGTTGATTTCAATTTGCTAAAGATGCACCAAAAAATCTCAATTTATGTATCCAAAGTAGAATGTGGACAACATCCTAGTAAAGGTGTTCCAACTTGAAACGATGCAAAAAGCATCTAGGAGTTGCCCGACTTGCCCTTAGTCCATAGCTGGCAGCTTGATCATAATGACACCGAGTTCAATATCGCCGCGTTACCAACCCGCTTTGAAGGCTAAAATCAAATTCAAGCTAACACGAGATCTCAGTTATACAGTGATTTGCTTATCCAATACAATAACTCAATAACAAACACACATCATCACTTCATGTTCATAGATCTAAGACTAATTCTTTCCCTCCCACACTATACGAAGTGCCATTTTCCTTTTTACAAAACAGTACCAAAATTTGTATATGCTTGAATGAATTGTCAGTTTCACGTCGACAGATTGTGTTTAAAAATTACACATGCATTTGGCTTGTAAGCTTGCCAAAAGTGCACATGCATTTCATCTAGGACCCCGTCATACATGCAAGTGTGCATCACCAGCTGTCATTGCCGCTCCTCATATCAAGAAATATTTCACTCATGCATCTCATACGTAAACTAGCCTGCATTTCTTCACTTCACACTCACATAGAATGTCTAAGGACCCTGTAAATATATTGTACATATCAATTATTCAGTGGAAATATGTGAAAATATGCACTCTTAGACACATATACGCAAGACTAGGGCTTTGCAGCTCAACCACAGGAAATGACCCATTGTTGCTAATAAATACTTCAAAGCTAAGTTCTTAAAATAATTATAAGAACAAAATCAACAATCCCAACAAGAAACAGGTGGTGTTGGTTCTGGTTGAATGTAGAATCCAATTCTATGTTGAAGTGGTCTGTTGAGAACCCATCTAAACAAAAAGTTGCAAAAATTAAAACAAAGCAACTTCTTCTGATCCCTTTTTTGTTTAAGAAAGAAAAAAAGGATCAGAAGTTGCTCATTGATAATCTTAAGCAATTCCCTATCCTCATCCTAGCCAGCATGAGCAACTAATGATTAATAATAAAAAGAAAAAAGGTTCTGTAATAAATCAATTGCTTGCAAACTCAGATGATTCAGATATGAGACATGCAAGGAGAAATTTCATTCAAGATCATAAACCTCGGAGAATTGGACAGGAAAAGAACATGCAAGAAAGTTTATAATACCATTAATATTATGATCATAACTGGAACTGAACAAGATTAGATTTACCTGATGAGGAGGTACAATGATAAGAAAAATGCCACAAGGAAACCAACAAGCTTGCACGTAGCACGTCCTGACTTCCTTTCAAACACCTAAGATGTTATACATGTAACATACGAGAATGTCAACAGAACAATAAACAATGATGCAAGAATATAGAACTTAACATGATATCATCTTACCATCTTGAAGCGGTCAAGTGTTCCTGACAAGATACCTCTCGATGCATCCATTTCATTCCCCTGCATCAGTATCCAAGTTCATTATAATCGAAAAAACATGTAAAACATGACGATCTAACACGATCAAAGTTACTTATATTAAAAGCAAGGTATACACTTACATACCATCCGATCCAGGAGACGATTATGGCTAAGAACCTCACCATGTATATCACCAGACAACTGACACGAGATAGAAGCAGACATCATCAGAATTGGCTTCATTAACATGATTGAAGAAATCTAGAGATTAGAAGCGATGTGCAGAAATCCAACTGCACTTCAAAATGATTGTCCTCTTTTCCATTTATGGTTCAATTGTATTACTCTGGCATGATTTTTGGTGCACTCTAGCCTAATGGCGACAAAAATTCAAGCCTTGCACAAAGACATAAGGTTTTACGCGTTGGATTTGAAAAGAATGAATGTTGAATCAACAAAAGAGCCGGATACATAGATCAAATCCTTACAACTCAAGTATTGATAGTGTTTAGCAGGATGTGAAGACTTCGAATTGTCCAACCCCCACAAAAAGCTTACTTGAGTTAAAAACAGTTTCACTCAGCAAACTCTATCAAAGCACATAGTGCATATGTATGAATAGACAACTCCCCAGGATTCACAAGCAGAAAAAATCCAGCAAGCATGGCTTACAAGACTATGAAGAAACCTATTTATTCATGAAAAAATGTTTACATATACATATACCCCCTTCCACAGTAAGCAACACCCTATGTCCCTATTGCTACATAACAATTCAAATTAAAGCTCAAACTAAGAAACATTGAACTTAAAATTGATGCAAAAAAAAAGGATCCATACCTGCTTCAAAAAGAAAACCCGGTCTTTTAGGCTATCAAGTGCTTTGTCATTCTCATTTTCACTAATGTCAGTTGAAGATGCCCTAAGACCACCCTCTTCAATGCTATTGTATCCATCAAAAAGGCCAGCTTTCGAAGCACGAGTCTCTCTAAAAATCAAGAGATGACACCACAACTTAAGCCAATGTTTGAAACAGGAATCATCACCAATAAAACACAATTGCTATGCAATATGACTGCCACAACAGAATATGATGATGCATTGAAAAGGTTAACAGAAGCAACAGCCTCAGGCAGTGTTGAAATGCCAATCGAACAACTTAACTAACGGCAAATCTAAGCACCAATGACTAATCCTCCCAAGTTTCAATATACAATTCCAGTAATTATTGATGTATATAATTGTTTGAATACAATAATCTTATATAATCTCAAAACTAAAGATGTTGATTTTCAATCTGATCTGATTGAACCCTAAAATATTCAACAACAGTTTCCCCCAATTCTGCACGCAAAACCCTACCCAACCCACCAACCCCATCCGGCGATCCCAACCCTCACCGGCGACCCCACCCAGAACCCACGGAAATTAATAAAATTGGTTTCCATTTTTTTTTTTTCTTAAATTTGATCAAAATAAATCTGATAATAATTCACAAAGAGTAAATCCGATTGCCACGGAAATTAATAAATTTACGGAATTGAAGAAAGATCAGGGGATGGAAATTACCTTCTGTAACTCATGCTTGTAAAATTTCTTCCTAAAATTAGACGAATCGACGAATCATCAACTTCAACTTCCACTGTTGAAGAATACCCGTTTTGGAAGCTGCGGGATACCACTTTTTTTTTTTTTTTTTTTTTTTTTGGTAAGAAGATCCTACATTCTTACCTCAATTGTCATGATTTTTTTGCCCATTATTGGTTTAAGGGATTCCCTATCCTTAGTTCTCTACTCCCAAAGTCCGAAGTGTCTAGCCTACAAATAATCGACCAAGTACCCTCGCTTGATAGGATTCAAATTCCAGACATCTAGATCTCTAGGCTCTAAGGTAAGAGGTGAGCAAACACTTTTTAGTACATTTTTTTATAAGGTAAGGGGAGATGGACCCTAACCGTACCTCAACCCTTATGGTTTTTTTGGTTCGGTATTTACGGGTCAGATACTTTGAGAGTGAAGGGAAAAGGGTAAGGGATCCCCACCCTTAAAGTGTCTCTAATGGGGATTAAACCTCTAACCTCAAGATTAGAAGGTACAATCCTTACCACTAAACCAAACTTACTGTTATGCATTGATTTGGCTTACCATTTTTTTAGGACATCTTTTACTCGTATTCCATTAAATGTCAAATACGGACCTCTAAATTTTAGTATTTGTAGTATTTTATTCCTTCGACAATTCAACTGCAAAGTGTGATATTTTAGTCCCTTAACCACCACAAATAATAAAATCCGACGGTCAACATTAAATATTGGGTTGTTTTGGCAAGTTTAGGGACTGAACAAATGATGTGGCAATTTTTTTATTTTTTTTTAAATTTTAAAAACCAAAGTTAGGGATCTTGATAAGCTGACATGACATTTAAATAATACAAAATTGATAGTTTAGGGTATTTAAAAAAAAATAAAAAATAAAAAAATTGATAGTTTAAGGACTTGGTGAAGGGCAAGAATAATACAAGTAATTATAGAGCAAAGTTTAGGGACAAAATTGCTATTTGTGTATAAGAACAGTTGGATGAGCAACAATTTAGTCATATTGTGTCAACTAGCCCCGCTTGATTCAACAAAATATCTATCTATTGTACTGATTGAAAAATATTGGTGATAATATGGGCTTTTGATGGGAGACTAAAGACGGGATAGATTTAAGTTTGAAATTCGTCAATTTGATGGATTAATTTGTATCAATGAATTCAAAGGATAGATTGGTGAAATTGATCAAGCTTATAGAAATTCCAAATTTATTGATCATAAATTTCAATTTGTATTCACCTCTCCATCTAAAATCATTATTATGAGTATGAATTGAACAAATTACTCCGTAATTAGTACTACCTCCGCTCTCAAATTCACCTAAGTAAAATAGAATAATCTGTCATGATTAGACTCCAAAATCTATCAAATAAATCTACAATCTATTTGACATCCTCCAACAGTCCAACTGTGTAAAATATGGTACGTTGGCTACATAAATGTGGTGAACACCCCAATTCAAGAAAATAGAATTTATGAATACATGTTGTCACTGATGGTTCGTGTTAATGCTTCAGTACCCTGTTAACAACCAGATTCCAAAGTTGGTTGTAAAAGCAGGTCAATATATAATTGCACTATATTTACTTGACAAAAATGTCAACACCTAACTCTGCACTTCCGATGTAAGGAGAGTCCAAATCATGAAAATGCTCTCAAATTTTTTTGTTGCGAGAAATTGCATACGTTCTTTTAAATACAAACATAATGAATATTGACGTTTGTATTAGTATATATACTACTCTACCAAAAATATTTTTTGACATTTGATTTTGGTATTTTTTTGACGTATGGCAAGTATATGATATGCAGGAAAAATTGTACGTTTTCGAAAATATCTTCATACTACCCATAAACAAGGGCAGGCTCCCTTGGACCCCAAGACCAAAACTCCAGAAAAGCCGGTTCGTAATTGATAATGCTGGAAACACAAAAATGAACATAAGTGCGGATTAAGCATGATCACTACATAGAAAGGGAGATAAGTTTATATTAGTGCCAAAAGGTGTGGTTTTGATAATGAAGCAACAAAGTGCAAGTTCATGTTAATCCTTGGTAATACTACAAATACAAACAGGTCATTATATTCATTAAAATATACTCATATTAAAACAAAGACAGATAAGATAAATCCATGGATCAGTGGGTTTTAGACTATTTTATCCCGATCCATTAGCTTTACAATACAATACACAAAAGCAACATGCTTTCATGTCACAAGTGTATTACTATTTTCACAACCACCATCACTAGGTGTTGTGATTTTGTGACAATACACAAAAAGACACGGTTAATGCATATGGAGCAGGTTTAATATCACTAGAGAAGGGGTTTACTTACTGTAACAATGTTACAAATGACAAAACGTCAGGATGCTAGCGATAAGAATGTTTTCGCACCAAATACAAGCACTTCATAAAGAATGGGAAATATCATACCTCTCTTGTATTTGTTGCTTCCTCACAACATATTCTTTTTCCTCGAGTCTGCCTTTTGGGAACTTAAACCTTACACCAAATCTGGATCCGTATCATACAGGGGGTGGAGAACGCGCATCCATCATTCAAATGCGGTTATGACTCGGATCGGTGACTCCTATCATATCTCGACCATAGAAGTTGCAGATGCTCACAGATTACATAATTTAAACCAGAAGATTAATGATACAACTATCACACAAACAATGCTTTCAACCATTGACTAACTGTCTATTTACACGAAAAATGCCAGAATGCAAATTTATAACCTTACTAAGGGAGAAGCTAGAAAGATCCATGTACATTTAATTCCAAATATGTAAGCTTCGATTGGGATAGTTGAGAGAAATCTAGGATAAAAATGTAAGAAATTATCATTACTATGTACAAAAGTACATACGTAATGTGCAGAAGAAAAAATTACTTCCTCCCTCTAGTGAGAGAAAACTAGTTGTATGTACTAGTACTTGAGAAGCCAAAGCCAAAACCCTAGATGCCTTGCAACAAAAACAAAGTGATCTTCTGTATCTTTGTATTTGATTAAACCAAGAAAAAACCCTAACTTCATTCATATAACCCATCAATCGAGGCAAGAAGCCTGGCATTGCAGTTGCCATTCCATCCAATCACCAAAGTCAAAACTGCTAGCACAATCCAGCAGAGCATTTTGCTGATGTTCATAACGGCATATATAATTTAAACCAACAAGGAGATCACAAATTGCTGCTTCTGTCTTCTCCCTGTCCGCAAAATAGAGGGTTTGAAGTAGAAGAACGTTTGTTCTTGAAACAATCTGTTGTTGCTCAAAATTGCGCTCACTTTGCCACCTGATCATATTATGCGCCAAAGGAGCTAGCCATTTCAAGATCTGATCAAGGCTTTCCTTCCAATCATGAGCCAGCGCACCATCAAATATTGCAAAGTTCTTGAAGTGTGACTTGAGATTCATCCTCAAAGACTTTCTTAAGCTAGCTGGCAACATTTGATACAAATCATCCCTGGCTTCCTCTCCCACTAAATGTGGGTAACGAAGAAGTTTCTCTATAACTATAATGACATTAGCATAGTGCAGAGCAAGAGCAGAACCTCCAACAGTGGACGGCGTAGCATGAGTAGCCAGCCTACTTTTGGGGCCAAAACGTGAGGCATTCACTGAATCTAGAAGCTGCCCATGTTCCCCATTATAACGAAATCCAGCTTGGGCGCGATTTAAGCAGTCTGGATGCTCCTCCTTCATGCCATCCACAACTTTGAATTCTGAGACAAAGGAATTTTGGTCACTGCAAGAAAAGTCATCTTCATCATCATCAACTCTTGAAGCTGAACTGCTGAGACTAAGGCACTCCATGAAGATCCTCCCCGGGCTAGGAGCACAAGGATAAACTAAATCCTGACGATGAAGCAGGTCTAATTCACTTCTTTTCAGGCTAGATTGAGTCTTGAAACTAGGAGGCTTCTTTTCACAAGTTTGACTATGCAAAGAATTATTCCGGTTCATAAGCCTAAGACTGCGGCGACTCTCAAGCTTACCAATGCTCTTGACAACAGGCTGAGGAGGCACTCCTCGAAGCACATCGACATTAGCAAAGGCAACGCAAATTCTAGCATAAAGGGTGCAAACAGTCCTGGCCAAAAGCTCAACAACCTTATCATAAGTCTGATTCCAAAGAGAAATATCCTTCAAATGCTTAACATCCTGCCTTTGCCAAGACAATTTCTGGTCAAAAGCCCTACGACTATCAAGATTATGATTCAAATGGAACTTGTTGGTAGCAAGCTCCAATTCATTCAAAACCTCCAATTCACCATACAAATTAGCAGTAGCACCCACATACCTCTCCATCTTCCTAATCATACTATCCATATCCTTAACCAAAAACCCCAAATCTTTGACATTAATCCTACCACTAATAATATCCCCATAAACATGCTCAAAACCAAGCAAGGCTGGCTCAGTACATCTTTTCCCCAACCTAGAGACAACCTCAGCAACCCTATTCAAATCATCTACCCTCTCAGAATAAGCAAGCTCTGAAAGGTAAGAATCATCACAAGAAACCAATTTCTTAACACCCTCTGATTTAATCAATTCATGCTTCAGTTTCGAGATCTCTTCATCAGAGACTGAGTTATGAAGATGGACCAATTTTGACATAACATTAGCAACCTCAAATGACAAGATACCAATATTAGAGCAACTACTACTACTGCTACTTTTCTTCTTTCTACTACTACTATTACTTGTGCTTGTTGGGTGTAAAAGAAGGGAGTTTTTCAGATTGCTACTTACCTGATTCCCCATTCTCAGTAACCAAGGCTCTGCAACCATTGCTTTACTGGGGTTCTTCTTGTTCTTGTTCTTCTCCTTCTTCTTCAATTGAAAGATCTCAACTTTCAAAGAAAAGAAAATTGGGATCAAGGGCGCATTTTAGCAGAGGGGGGTAAGTTAATTAAATTGTTTCAGAGACAGAGGAGAGGTATAATGAATTGAAGGAGGAGAGAGAAGGTTTTAGCAATGGAGGGAAAGAGGCATTGATTGTTGTTACTTGTTTTTTCTGAAATTCAAAAGACAGAGAAATAGGGTTGAATTAATTTTGTGATTAGAGGGGGTTAGCTTTTGTATTTGGATCTTAAATGAAAACCAATTATCTTCTGTTTGGTTTAGTAGGCAGCAAATTCCAACTCCCACTCACTCCCACCCAAAATAACAAAATATGGTAAATGTAGTTATTGGAGTGGGATGGTCAATGTAGGGTTCTCAAATTGTCAACTTCTATGACCCCACCTGATACCCATTCCATTTTCCCAATTTTACCAACTTTAGATGTATGATTGATTGATTATATACTTTGTACTCAACCAGTAACTTACAATGCATTTTTTATTCACAAAGTCACAATTTATGTCAAATTGTTACTAAATAATTTAAAAGGGATGTACTATAAAGTATTTACTTCGTATTATTAACAGATTTGATAGTATAATAGAGTAAAATTGATCATAGATTTATATAATAGAACAATTACTCCCTTCGTCCTCTAATAATTGACATGTTTGATTTTAGTTGTATTAATTATGCTGAACAGAGGGAGTAAATAAATTCACGAACTTAAGAGTTATCCAATTTGAAGTTCTAATCATCATATTGGTTTTGAACATTTAACCTGCTTTTTCATGAGTAAGCCCTCTAAGGGTATGGGAGTATTTAAAATTTTCCTCTGATTTATTTTGTTTGTTTCACTTAAAATATTCTTTTTGATCTCCATCGATGTTTTGCACATAAACAGGAGAAAGAAATTGAGGAGAGAGAAAAGTAGGAAAAAAGGACGGATCATGAAATGTAATCTTTATTTAGTTCAATGAAAGAGTGATTGTATCACGTCCGAAGTAGTGATGAAATCGTGGCAAATATTCCGTAGGAAGTTTTAGGGGAATTCCCATTGGTGTCAATCTAGAATTGCCTTTTTCCATTGGTACACTATTAATTTTTGCTTTCTCACTAATGCACATGTGGTTAATATTTTAGGAGTCATTTTAGTTCTTAAGAAGTTAAAAGTCCAAATTGAGCTTGAAATTGTAGTTAAAAAAAGTAAATGTCTCGTTTTGTGTGTCAAAAATTGTCTCGGTTTGCATGTTATTTTGTTGAGTCCCAAAAATTGTCATGAAATATTTCGTTTTGAGCTCCTAAACCATTGATGGATCTCATGAGTAGGAAAAATTCAAGGCAACCATGAATTGAATAAGATACATTGATCCATTAACTCATTAAGGTTCAACTTGTGCAATAATCTATGAGATCGCTAACTCAAATATGGTCTTGAGGATCGAGGGATAAAGTTAACCATGAGTTAGTGTTTGCTTGAATTAACCTTTACTTGTTTCTAGTATAGACAAGTGGAATTTGCAATTTTATTTTGAACAACATGCCCATACAATGTTAAACCTTACAGGTATGTCAATAGCTATCCTTGAATAACACATAAAATCTAACTATTTATGACGACTTGAATCTAATATTGATTGAAGGATCCTAACTGGTTGTCCAAATATTATCTTATGTTATGTAATTCAAATATTTTATTTTTAGCAATAACAATAGGTGGCAACAATCAATCGTCATATAAACTAATTAAGCCTGCTCTATAGGTCAACGCTTAAGTAGAGAAAAGAGGTAAGGAAATCCCCCTACTCCCAAGCAAATGTAGTTTGCGAGTCTTAAGCTTATGACCTACAAAGTGAGTTCTGTACCAACTCCACCAAGTATACTTGGTTACAACATGCATAATTATTGATGAGAAGAAAAGCTGTTTATATTTATAGGCAAGAGCATGCAAACTGATAAGGTAACCGCAAAGTTGGTTGGACTGGGCACAAGACGTTGATCGCTAGGCTTTCTAGCTTAGCCGTTTTAGCTCAGCCTTCAGCAAATTTTGGGCATTAAACATTGGGTTTGACTGTAGTACATTGTGCAAGTCAATTAAGTGTTAAGCTTAATAATGTTTGAGATGTGTTACTCCTTTCCTCTCAAAATAATAGACTAATAAATGGCTAGTTGGATGGGATTTGAATTGGGTTTAATTACGATGCAGCCCCAGCCCCAGTTGCTGAATTAGAGAAACGTTGAATGCTTAGGTGCGCTAACTTTATTCCGTTGAACAAGTGAGTACTGTAGCTGTAGCAATTAGCCTGGAGTATTCCTTTTCATTTTTTCAAAGACGAATCAGTGTTATCAATCTAATCCAACAGTAAACAAGTAATAACAAGAAACAAAATTTGAAAACACCGAATCGTATTACCACTTTAGTTTTATTCAAATCTAATCTATACAATCTGCGACAAACTAAGCAAACCCTATTTTGTAATTCAAAAATTAAAAACCATTAAAATCTACAAGAACCAAAAGGAGCAAGCGAAGGAGCGGAATCATAGCAAAAGGGGGCGGCAGGATGCTGCCACTTCTTGAAAACGACCGGTTTAGTTTGGTCAGGCCTAGACGACGTCGTTTGGGAAGCGGAAGATTCAATCTCAAGGGCTCGATTAATGGACGGAGGGGATGAAGCGAGAGGGGACAAAAGGGGAATCGCAACGTTCCAGTCAGTTGGGCGGTGAACTTGAATGGAGGCTGGAGCTCGACGCTGTAGGCGGCTTGATTGACGTCGGCGGTTGGAAGAAGTAGAAGTATCCGCCATTAAATCAGAGATTGCTTTATTATTGGGTTTGTGTTTGTGGAGAATACTGACTCGTTAGCCAAAATGAGAGGAGTGAGAGAGAAAGGGTTATAAATATTGTTGACTATATAGACCCCACAAGCATGTGGTCTACACGCTTCAAGCTCCAACTCATCTACACTAGTCGCATTGTAAGGTAAGGACACCGTGCCTCAACTCTCACGGTTTTTTTGGTCCAATATTTACGGGTAAAACACTTTGATAATAAGGGGAAAACGTAAAGAATTCCACCTTTAAAATGTCTCTAGTGAGAATTGATACCACTAGACCAAGCTTAGTTTGGTCTTCTACTGTTTTATTACACTCTATTTTGTAATTACAACATTTGTTACACGTATTTTACAAAGCTTTATGAAAATTATAAATTGAGAACCAAAGGCGAAATTTTATAATATAAAGTATACGTTTAATGGTTAGTGTATCCTTATCAAATAAAAAAGTATTACTAGTATAATTATGATGAGACAAACGTAAAAAGAAATAATGTGATTATTACAAAACCAAAGGACTCGAAGGAGTGTACAAAATTCATTGTTTTGCAAAGTGTGGTATCAACTTTACTTCGTTGAAGACTAACATACCCATACTTCTCCAACGCATCCTCAACACTTCATATACAGCTTTGGAATTTTTTGAAATTCAGATTAAATCAATCAAAAACTCATCCTCTTCCATGATATTATCCCCTTCTTTAAGAATTCAAATTTCAGCTTCCCCTTGGATTTCTTTGAAAACTCCAAGGAAACCATCATAAGACCCAGAAACAATACACTTAACCGGAAATAATAAAATAAGAACGCTTACCTTGATCATCTGATAATCTTACAGAACTCAAACAAAAGAGTTAAATTTGTAGAATAGAAACTATTTAGGCTATAAATTCAAATTCGGCAATGACCTCTCGTCTGTGTTTGCATAATACTCGTTTTAATCATCAGAATTCATAGTTTTAATCTTAAACTTTTTAATTTTATTTTAATGTGAATTTAGAGTTTATAAATGAAATACAGACACTGAATCTCAGTTATATCTGGAATGAAACAAAATCCATGAATTTGGTTTGCAGCAAAAAAAAAAAATCTATTCAAAGACGTTAAAAGGACTACAATTTATTGAAAGAGTCATTAAAATATTTTGGCTGACCATACGTCCATAAGTAACAATTTCTTAGATGTGTAAAAAAAAAATAAGTAACAATTTCTTAGAAGTATATACAAGTATATATTTTTTAACGTTGTCTCCAAATAGTTCTAATTCTTAGAAACACAACGTGGAGGATTCTGGCCATAATATAATCCCGATAAAGGTAATTTCATAGATAATGAAAAAAATAACCTTTTTGCAGCAAATAATACTCCATACTAATTTCCCCATTCAACAGTAAACACCAGTTTCAACCATTACAATTGCCATGTGCCAACTGATGTTTTAGAGGGCGGCTAAACAAATCCGGCCACTTAATATACTACCTCAAGTGTGTTTTCATGCAGGGAAACCACTCAGGAATTCATATAGCACATAGGCTGAGCTTGTATATAATAAGAATCCTTGTACTTTCTGTTACTCCCAATATACAAGCCCCCACGGATCCAATCTTCACGGTGAATCCATGCCTCACGGCTAAAATCAAGAATGGCGAGAATCTGTTGAGCAGAGAAAGTCATTAGGAACCACAGGTACCAGTTAAACTCCTCAGACTAATGTCCTGAAGGAGTGTGGGGGATGAATGTTCTAAGACAATATTCGCTATCACCAATGAAACTGTTGTGGAAAAGGCCCTAATGCAAAAAAGTGATCCCCCTAGGTACACAAAAATTATCAGACATGAACTTGTCATGCAGTTGGAACAAAATACTGCCTCTGGATTGTATTTTGGCTTAAATGCTTTGTTTGGATAGCAAAGAAGGAAAGGAAGGGGTGGAAAGAGGGTGAAGGGGAGAGAAGAGAAAGGGAGGGGAAAGGTGAGCTCCATTTACCCTCCAAAACTCTCCAATTTTGGAGGGATAATGCTTGTTAAAGAGAGGGAAAATAGATCCCTCTCTTTCCTTCCCCCAATCCGAGCGTCCGGTTCGGATTTGGTGAGGTCAGGCCGAGTTGGGTCAATTTTTAAAAGTTAAGTCATGCCTAGTCCACACGATTCGAAATCTAAATCGGATATTTTTCAGGTCGGTTTCAGATCGAGTCAGTTCGGGCGTGGTCTTGACACCTCTAGGTGGCATCTCCTACTTCATTGGATATTTTCCCTTATGTACTACATTTGATAACTACTAACATACTAAACTACCCATAATACCCCCCCTAAGTCTGTTCATTACATGTATTTCCATTGAGGAATATGCTTTAACTTCGATAATTAACCATGGTATGGGAGCAGACTAGAAGTGAAGCCATTAGGGTTTATTGTGATTGTGAGTGCCATTTGGCTTACTATTAATGATAATCTTCCTTTTTTACTAAAAAAAAATAAAGAAAGAAAGAAAAATTGTACAAGCCCTTACTTACCACTCCACCTTTCCATGAAACATAGGTTGGATTATTTCTGGACTGCAGAACCTACACATATATAATTTGTTAAAATTGCCTTTATCAATGACATTCATACAGAGGATTAGAGTCTTAAAGAGCCTTGGTAAATCCAGAGTAGATAATTATGGACAAAGGAGAAGTGAATATATGCACAAACCTCAACTGTGTCAATTGCTTCATTTGAAGGGATTGCATGCAAGACCCTGCAAGTAACAAAGGAGGTATGTCAAAAAAAGGAACACGTACTTCAGAAAGAATCTAGTCATGTAGTATAAAATTCCGTTTTGAATAGTGCTAAACCAATAAGCTGCAGCCTGAGTGGCAGAACAGGGATTCCCAACAGGGTTGCAACTTGCAAATTAAGAACATGTTACAATTTCTATACTTTATAAGTCTACCTTTTTTTTTTTCTTGTAACTTCTCTATCCAATTGTGGGAATAGAAACAGTAGAATATATATATATATATATAAATAAATAAATAAAAAATAAAAAAATAGAAATAAAAACCCTTTTCCCATTTTCCTGAATTTAGTCCTTTTCAAAATCACAGCGACACAGTTTGCTCACCAACAGCTCATGGTCTCCCTCCAAGCAAGAGACTTATCTCCTCCAATGATAAAAGAGAGAATCATCATACAAGAGAAAACTAAGATGATCTTTGACTTTAAAAGGACAGCATGAGAAAAGAGAGAATCATATTCCCAACAAAATAATATGGAATGGATATGAGAACCCCATACCTTGCTAAATTTGTTTAATTTGAAACTAAAATGGATTTTACTAAGTTAGGGCTTGAATCTAGGTGGGAATGGATTTAGAATCTTAGGGTGTGAAGAGGTATGAGATTGTAGGGGACTTGAACGGGAGTTAAATACTACTGATACAGGGTGTCATGACAAAAAAATTGCCCAACCAAACATTGGAAATTTTGGAATAGATTCTACTCCATTCAAATATATACCAAAAGGCCCAACCAAACACTCTATGTTCCTCATTTCTAAAGTGCTAAGTCTTCACTAATTAGCTTCCATTTACCAGAACCATTTGCTAATACACACTTCATGTCATCATGTGTACTAGGGGTGTTCAAGTATCCCGGTACCTAGTTCTTGAATCGGAACCGATTTAGACCTAGCAGGTCCAGTTCCAGACTTGGACCCGGTCCAACTGGTCTGGTCCAGTTCCAAAATTTAGGACCCCATTTGAACCGGTTCCGATTCCGACTCTGAAATTGTGGAGCCTGATTTGGTTGCTACTTTTTAGTAGAGTACAGATTTTTTAAGGCGCAAATCTAATAAAATGACAAAAATCCTTGTCTTACTCCTCTAGCCTCACTATCAATCTCTCTCTCTCTTAACCCTCAAAATCTCAAACCGTCATTATTTCTAGCTTCACCCTCAAATCGTCACTCTCTCTTCACCTAACCCCCTAACTCTTTTAACCCAACCAACTTAAGTACCCAATAAGACCACCAAATAAACCACCCCCCCCACCACCACCACCACCTCACCATCACCGAAATTGTCCCACTCACTGTCAGACCCACCCCGACCACCGTCAGAACCTCCCCTTCCAACAGCACCTTTCACCAAACCCCTCCTAACCAGCCACCTTCTAAAACACCCAAACCACCACCCAACCTCTAAAAGACTAAAACCACCAACCATCTCGGAAAGCCTACCCCCACCCACAGAAACCACCTCCCCTGTACCTAACCCACCAGAAACCACCCTGCCACCACCACCAACCCACCAAGAAACCACCACAACCACCTAATAAAAACTATTCTAAAAATCTGTCGTGCTGCGATAAATTCGCAGTTTGCGAATTTAAACCCTTTCTTCTTCCTCATTTTCTCGGCTGTTCGTGCTTTGTTCGTTTTTGCTCAGAGCTTCAAATTGCTCGTTCTCCTTCGTTTGTTGACCAAATTCGCTCAAATTTGTCTCAAATTGTTGCATTTTCATCCTAGTTTGCCGATCTATGTAAGTTTTGCTCGAACTCTTCTTGTTTTGGATGAATTTCGAGCATGATCTTTGCGGATTTCCGGAAAATCCGAAAATGTTCATGCTATTTGCTCAATTTTTGTTGAACTTCTTGCCATGAAATTGCTTGTACATGTTTGTACATTGCTTTGTGAGTAATTTGAGACTAAAATTGCATGATTAGGTGAAGAAACGAGCATTTTGCCATTGTTGAACACTCTAGGTTTGTGAGTACGATGTGACTTGTTCTTCATGATTTTGCTCACTCTCTGTGCTTAATTTGTTGCAATACTTGTCGTAAACTTGCAAGAAATTGTTGGCGGACTTAGATACTATAGAATCTTTAATTTACTATTTTTATGTGAACAATAAATAGTATGGCTCGACGTCGAGGTTATGGTTCGCGCTCCCGCTCGTCTCACCGAGAGGTCGAGCCCGTAGGAGATGGTGACGGCGCTTCCACTAGCCGAACGTGGTCTCTCCCTAAGTGGGATGAGCACACCCTAGCTTTTTAGCCGGTTTACCACATCTCCTAGCGCGTTCGG